CCTGTGCTGGGCCTGGGCCCTCCCCTATGTGTCCAGGCCGAGAGTATATCCCTTCACGTGGGATGGGCTCTCAAAGTCCCTTCTTACACCAGGGAAAAATACTGATCCACTACCAGGGGCCCCCTAGAGTGCGGAGGACTCCTCATTGACATCCATGTTCAGGGGTCTGGCTTAGTCCTGTACTGGCCTCCCAGACAGAAGTCTGGGGTCGATGTGCTCCCCCTTGTACAGGCCAGCTGTTTCTGTGGGTCTCTCCAACCTAGTACGGACCCCTTCCGTCTTCATTCCTCCCTCTCTGCAACAAAGTTCAAGTTAGGGCTTCTCCACACTCCCTGACTCCCTGAGAACTGGTTTACCAATACTCTACTTAAGGGTTTGCAAAACAAAAGACTGTGAGGCAGGCAAGAGGATTGATTTTGCAAGTAGAATCTTACAGGCTCAGGCTGAAACCCCAGCCCCCCAACAGGTGACGGTAAGCAGATTCCTTGACCTGTCTAAGCCTGTTTCTTCATGAGTCCATAGTACCTATGCATTGAATGCCTAACCTGTAGCAGGCATTGGCCTCGGCACTTACACACATTCGCTGATCAATACCTAAGAACAATCCCTGGGAGTGAAGCTTATCAGTCCCCCCATTCTAGAGAGGGGAAATGGAGGCAAAGGCAGACAGAGGGACTATACTAAGACCTCATTGTGACTGGCAGTATAACAGAAACCAATAGCCTGGCCTGAGAGCCAGGCCTGGCTTACTGCCTGATCCGGTGGTCACCGGCCACCTCACACTACAGAGGACTTCAGTTTGGTTAATTGAAATTGGAGTATGTGATGTGAGACACATGTAAGACATTTCAGAGATTTTTTTAAAGAGAGAGAGAGAGAGAGAGAGAGAGAGAGAGAGAGAGAGGTGCTTTGTTAATTCTGTGTTTGTGATAATGCTGTATTGATGATAGGCAGAAATGATATTTTGGAGATGGTACATTAAATAAGTAGAGTTAGATTTAACTACACCTGTTTCTTTGTCTTTAAAGGGGCTGGTAGAATTTGTAATTACCTTATGTCTGCGAGGAGTGCTGCCCCAGACTGATCTCACCGTCTGCTGTAAGCATTGAGTCTAGCCTGGAACCCCAAGCACACTGAACACCTGAGAGCCATTATTCATCTTGGTGACATCAGTGGCTTTCACCATGTAGCAGGGAGCTCTGAAGGAAGTGAGGGAGACCTGAGATGTCCTCTCTGGTAGCCCACTTATCCTGGTCACGATCTCCACAGGCTAGAAAGCCTCAAAGGTGGAAAATCCTTCATAGTTCTTCAAGCTTTAGTCTTCTCCTCAGGAGGTCAGAGAATTGGTACATAATTTTAAGGACATAGTCAAGGCATGTCTACAACAGTACTTCCGTGTGCGTGAGCTTATACATGATGGGGTGGGGGAGGGGGTGAGTGAGCGTGCACATGTGCATACGTGTGAGATCAATATTAGGTATCTGCCTTATTCATTGAGACACCAAACCTGGGGTCTCCAATTCAGGTATAGACTGGCTGGAGAGTGAGCCCCAGGCCTCTCTTGTCTCTGCCTCCCCAGCACTGAGGTTACAAACCTGTACTGCTGTGCCTGTTTACTTCATGAGTGGGGGAGGGGGTTGTCAAACTCATGCTTTCATAGCAAGCCCTTTGTCCACTGAGCGAAATCCCAGATACTTTTTAAGTGATCATGGGTAAAAGCAGTTTTACCCATGTTTTGAGAGAAATGAAATGGCTTGGTCCCTGATCTGGGTACAGCACAGAGAGAGGTTCAGTGGCGACAGGGGTCATGTTGCAAGATTGGTCCTGGGTGTAGTGGGGTTAAAATGTAGTAGAACCTTCGAGATGGAGGAAGGCTTGACACAAAGTAACTACATTATTGGGGCGTTGCCCTTGGAAGGGATTAATGTAGTTCTTTGGGGACTCTGGTTAGTTACCTTGAAAGGTTTGTGCAAATAGACAAAGCCTGACCCTGAAGCTCTCTGGCTCCTGGATCACCATGAAACGTCTTCCATACAAACATTCCCCATTGGGGTGTCTTCTGCCATCAGATCCTAACCAGAACTATGTAGAAGCCCGTGTCATGCTCTTGGCCTTCCAAAGGAATAAGCTAAATCAACCACTTTTCTTTACTAATTATCTGGCCATAGGCATTTTTGCCATAGCAATTAAAAGCACCTAATAGAAGCATCATGGGTGTGAATGGGAGCTCGTCCTTACTTGGCATCCTGAGTTATCATCTGTGTAGGTTCGCAAGGCAAGCCCTATTTTCCATGGCACCTGTCCATTTATGCTCCTGCCAACTCCCCACCTACCCAGAACCTAGGAAAGGTGCCAGACCCTAAGATCCACAAGTCTAACCCCAGGGAAGCATAGCAGAGACACTCCACCCCAGTACTACAATGACCGTGCTGTCCTTCAGGCAACTCGGAGCTCCACCAGCCCCACTGTCTGCTGGGCAACTTCCCAGCTCTTCTTCCAGCCCTCAGTCCTGGCTCTGAAGTAGTATTGGGGGGAGGGGGCTGGAGGGATGGACAGCCAACTTCTTGCCGGGCTCTCTAACAAGTTCCGCTGGTCTGTTTGTTAAAGAAAAATTCCAGTGGGCGCATCCAACACATGGAACTCAAGTACAGAAATTATATTTATCCAGCCCACTGCCAAAGAGATCACATGCCCTGTGAGTCACTCCAGATGTGCTCAAAAAACAGAGCCTCTGTGTGGAAGCCTGGTCCCCCAATCCCAGAGAGACTTAGGTTAGGAGAGGTACCAACTTCTGTCCCACCCAGAAGGCAGCATCCGCCTCCACCCTGTGGAGCCAGGGAGAGGCCCTTGCTGCCCTTCTAGACAAAAAAGGGCAGTAAGAACTCTGTAATCCCACAGAGAAGAACTCAGGGCTCACCTGTAGCTCCCAGGGTCCCACGGGGATAGAAGGTCAATTTTTCTCCCTTCTGGAAGATGCCCTGGAAGGCCCTGATGCTGCTGTTGCTGTTCTCTAGCACCGAGGCTACTGAGTCCCGCAGGTGGAACAGGGGTGAGTTGTTTTTATTCATGTGTCTCTCTGCCTCTCATTCATCTTTCTGGAATAGAATTATGGATATGGAGTGGTGTCAGAGGGAGGAAGCAATCAGAAGCCCTGTTTCAGCTTTGTAAACCAACTTTGCCGGTGCTCTGTGCTTCCTGGCATGTTCCTTCTTGGTAAAAGGTGATGGAAAAATGACCCTGGAAAAACATCAAAGCAGCTGATTTGGGAGCCTGATGTAGGTTGAAAACCCATAGGGTTGTCCCTGCTGGTGAAGCCAGAAAGCTCTTGACTGCTTCAGAAAATGGGGACGGCATCTCTCCAGATCCAGGCTAGGACTGCTTGGACCCCTGGACTAGCAAAGTTCTGCTCCCTGTATGATGGAATGGTGGCCACTGGGATGCAGGAGACTACTACCTGAGGGACTAAAACAGAGATTATTGGCCACACCAGCCAACAATGAGGCCTCTGGGCTGTTGTGGATGCATTTTTGCAGCCAGGTAGAGCTGCCGGGTGGCAGGTAAGAATAAAAGAACCTTTGTGGGCATCCATCCAGTGAGCTTAGCTCCTGCCACTCCCATCAAGCCACCATGGAAAGAAAAGGGCCTGTGCAAAAGTCTTCCTTTCCTGCTGACATCCTCTTCCTCAGGATGTCACTTCTCAGGATGAGGGTGGCATCTTCACTCTGTGCCCTGGCTCTGGCTGTGCTTGACAGGCACTGGGAACACATCAAGCCAGCTCGTTTATCGCTATGGGGAAGTGAAGAGCGGGGCATGTTTCCACCCTGTGTCAGTCTGAAGGGAAGTCTTTCCACTGCCTAAAGTCAGCTGAGTTAACATGCTCAGAAAGAGCTGGAAAAACCATGTTCCCGAAAGTCGATCCAGAAGCTCTTTATAGAGACCCCAAGTGGCATGAGGGTTGGCATGGTGACATGATATGCCCTTCCTTTTCAGATACAATGTCAGGGAAGGAAAGGGTGGCCTGTGCTGCATGCAGCCTGTGCAGTGGGAGAGAGGAGGCCAAGGCACGTATCTTTTATTTTATTCTCCTTGTGCCTAATCCTGATTATTAGGGACTAGCCAGGCCTCTGAATAGAGCTAGGGAGTGAGTGTTGCTGAGATGGAAATAACGGACTTTTCTCACACACAGACACACACACACACACACACACACACACACACACACACACACAAGTGACACACAAACATCATCATATCACAGTCACACTCGGGGATGGGAAGCAGACAGATCTTCGAATTGGATTCTGTCACTTACTCTTGTCACACCAGGATCATAAGTTAATTTCCCCATTCAAAGGAGACAAAGGCATATACTCTTCTGAAGGCATAGACTGTCCGGAAGCCAAGAGACGACTGGACATATGACAAGGCTGATAAACACGCCAGCTGCTCTGGGAGTGCTCCTGCGAGGACGCGGAGATTTCAGCTCTGCCTCTAAGGAGCCAGCTGCTCCATCTCTGGCAGGCTCCTAATTTCCCTGGCTGTTCTTAGCAGGTAGCATCTTAACAAACACAAAACTCGTCTTCACGGGGCTGATTTGAAGGTCATATTCAAAGACATGCTTCGAAAATGATGAAAACTATGTGTCAGCGGCTATATCACTTAAAAAATCATTCATTGATAAAAAGTTGAGGCTCTCAACAGAGGTTTGATCGCAACATCTGAGGCTCTTTGGGGAAGGCTTTCCCAGTAGTTCTCGGGCTCTATGAAGGATCAAGGCCAACACAAACGACCAAAAAGCCATTAACATACAAAGGGCTAAATTTATGGTTCAAGACTGTGTTTAGAGGCAACAAATGATATGGAGTCCTTCCAAGTTTCATCAAAACTCTTCTATGTAGTTGGTTTTTATTTTTTCCTTTGTCTTGAACATTTTTTTTCTAATTACAAAAGGACACAATTCTTGTTATTTCTAGATGGGCTCAGTTGATAGAGCGTTCGTCATGCAAGCATGAGGTCTTGAGTTACCCCAGACTCATGTGTAGAAAAGCTGGGTGTGGCCATCCACATTTGTAATCCTAGTGCACTGCACTGCTTAGGAGGCTGAGGCAGAAGGATTCCAGGGTTGACCGCCCACCAACCTAAGCCAACTGGTGAACTCCAGGCCAGTGAGATATTCTGTCTCAAAGAAGATGGACAGCTCCTGAGGGTGACATTCTCCAGGCTGTCCACACACACACACACACACACACACACACACAAGTAAGGGTTTCCCACGGGTATTGTCCCTATTATCTTTTCTTACTCCAACCCCCAACTGCCACCCTGCTTTCAGTGAAAGAGTTTGAGGGAGGCTCTCCTTGTAAGACTGTCCACATTCCTCCACGCCCCTCCACACACCCCACTCCTCTATACAGAAAGAAACACTGCCAGGCAGCCTTCTTTCCTTTCTCCCAGCCTCTCCCTAAGAAGTGCTCTCCAGGACGCCCAGCATAGGAGATTCCACAGCAAGATCCAGGGCTGCCCATTCCCGCCCTCCCAGAGTGATGAAATCCCAATGACTCACCTGTGGTTAGTGTGGTTCGCAGAGCCAACCTGAGGACATTGGCCTACAGCCCACATCCTAGCACCTTGTCAGAGCAATATTCGAAGGGAGAAGACTTGCCTAACCTTAAAAAGCTAAAAAATATATACATAATAACCAATATTGTTAGTAAGAACATATAAATTACTTCTCTTTTCTTGCATTTATTTACATATATATATATATGTAATATATATATATATATATATATATATATATTTGATATATATATATATATCCATGTGCATGTTACCACCGTGTACTTGTAAAGGTCAAAGGACCACTTGTAGAAGCCAGTTCTCTCCTTCTGCCATGTATGGGACTAGACTCAAGTTGTCAGGCATGGTGGCAGACACCTTACCTGCTGAGCCATCATACCACCCCCCTAAAGTATTTATTTATGAAGCAGTTTGGTAGCGAAGCTAACCCTGAGGGTTAGCGGAATCTCATTTTCAGATGTGTGTCCTTGCTCTTAGATGCTCTACCGGGTAAGAGCAATGGCCGGCAAGAGTTGCCGCTGATCACTGCTGTGTTGCCTAGCACCCATGCAGACAACCTTGTGCAGATGAGAAAAGCAGAAGCTCGGGGCCAGAAGGGACAAGCCCCAAACTGCCCTGCTAGAGGGCAGAGTGGATAATGCCCATGTCCATCTGAGATCAGCCCTATTCACTTGGCATCATTCCATCCCCCTGTTGTGGAGCTTTCTAGTCAAGATACCTCCTTGAACACTGTCCCTCGGGAACCTGGCACAGAGGTTATGACTGTGGCTTTCTCCGAACAGCACCAATTTTCCAAAAGGCTGGTCCGGGAGCCAAAAAGAAAACGACATCAGAGCCTGGCAGAAGAACTTTCATAAGCAAGAACATTTCCCTTCCACACCCAGAGTTGCTTCAAGGATTTGTTCACAGTGGGGCTATGCTTTGGCTCGATGTGGTCTGCAGCCTGCTGCCTTTCTAGCAAGTTCTTTGGTGCAAGTGCTGTAAATGGCTGAGTGGACTCCAAGGGAGCACTCCACACACAGGAATGGGGGCAGGAAGGCAGAGGGATTTTTGAACCAGGATCACGACAAGTCAGAGGTCAGACTCTGACTTGAGCCAGCTTCCTCCTCAGGCGCCTTCTGGCTGCACTCTATATCACAAAGTCTACACAGGGAGATAGCAACTGCTTTAACAAAGATAAATGCAAACTCACTCCTTCTGAGCTGGAGCAGGGACTCCCAAGTGATAAGGGAAATGAGTGTGCAGACCAAAGTCAAACCTTCTTCTTAGCTAAGACCAGACCCCAAACTCCAAAGGATGATAGAGTCACTCTCTTGCAAAGAGGAAGGGTTTTTTGTTTGCTTGTTTTTGTTTCTTTATTTTTTTTTACATTCCAATCCCAGTTCCCCCTCCCTCCTCTCCTCCTGCTTTCCTACATCCCCCCCCCACTTCCCATAGGCTCCTCGGAGAGGGTAAGGCCTCCCCTAGGAAGTCTACTAAGTCTGCCCCATCATCTCGTTGAGGCAGGACCAAAAAGGTTTTGTAAAGCACTCTGAAAAGAACCGGCTCAGTGGCAGAGTGGGTAGTATGTCTCTACAGTATCTTTTACCCAGTCAGCAAATAGTAATGGGCACAATTCTAGTTTCTATACAGTGTATTCCTATACAGTGTATTCCTATACAGTGATGAACGACAAAGACAGGTTCCATTCTCTCCTGGAGCTGGCATTCTAGTGACAGGAGGGACAAAGCACACGCACCTGAATAAAGAAAATATGCTTTGTTGGATGGCAATAAAGTAAGGACAGGCTAGAGTGTGTGCAAAAGCTCATTGTCCTAAATATGGGAGTCACAGAAGGCCCCATTGAAAAAAGTCACAAACAACCTGAATGGGGAGGGAGTCTTTCTATCTCTGAGAAGCATGGGGCGAGTACTTCAGGCAGAAGAAACAGACATGCAAAAGCCTTGAGACAAAGCTTGCCGCATGTGCTAAAAAAACAGTGAAGCTGTTTGTGGCCAGAGCCATGTGAGCCAGGAAGATGGGAGATGCATGCAGAGCTGATGGGGACTCTGATCTTGGAGCACCTGGTACCACGTGGAGATTTCTGCTTGTCCTCTAGAAGAAGTAGAACCAGAGACAATTCTGGGTGGAGTAACATCTGCAGGCCCTGTTTCCACAGATAGAGAGCTTAGAACAGATTAAAGGGTGAGCCGGGGGCCAGAGCTAGAGGCACCATTAGGGGAGATGCTCAGGGTTAGAAGACCAGGAGGCTGCCTGGATGTGGCAAGACATAGGCAAGTTCCTGATGAAATTGGAAAGGACCATCGCCAAAATTTGATGATTAGTTGGATACGGGCTGTTAAAGAAAGAGGATGCCAAAGATGGCGACTGAGCCACTGAGGGAGCTGGAAAAGGCTGGGGATGATGCAGGAGAAGCGTGTGAGTATGTGAGAGTGTGCATGAGGTAACTGAATAATAATGGCCCTGTGG